TGTACATTTTGCGTCGACGTTCTAGAATATTGTTCAATAGAATATAATGATGATGTACTCACGATCGGCACAGAAGAAAAAAAATGAAAAAAAGAAAACTTGCACACATTACATGAGAAATAGTTTCCAGCTGCAAATCGATTGTCTCAAGGAGGTACAGTATCTCGTGCATCATATAGTGTCAGCTTGCTAACAACTCATTTGCATAGCAAAAAAAACAAAAAATAAAGAAAACAAAGAAGAATACAAACATCCTCAAACTGTGAACAAACTAAAATATTGAAGTATTCCAGAAGGCTAGAAAGTGATATGGGGTGAGGATTGTGTTTTCGCTACTTCGTCACATTTGTTCCATAATGCACAGAAGGTCATAGGGTTCTGGAGTGGGCAGAGAAAAATACTATCAGAAGCATGACAATTGTGGTGCAGAAGTTGCTAACCGAATTTCTCTTTATTGTGTTCATATACACACATTGGCCAGACTGGTTGATTGATATTTGGGGGCTTAGCGTCCTAAAAGCAACATATGATTATGAGAGACGCAGTAGTGGGGGGGCTCCAAAAATTTCAGCCACTTGGGGTTCTTTAACATGCACCCAAATCTGAAACACAAAGCATTTTCGCCTCCATTGAAAATGCAGCCGCCAAAGCCATGATTCAATCCCACGAACTGCGGGTCAGCAACCGAGTGCCCTGGCAACACTAGATCACCGCGGCGGGGCTTGGCCAGACTAGTTAATGTATCAACACACACCTCAGAGAGCGTTGAAATTCATTGAATGGAGCAGCGTCAGTGATGCAAATGTAATTTGATCATAAAAGGCACGATAATTTTACACCGTCACCCTACCCAGACCATGTGAAAAATTTCGGAGGCATATCATAAAGATATACGCACTTCACATAGACAACCTTCTATATGATTACAACTCAAGAAATTTCATTAGTCCACTATGACACAAGCCTTGGTTGTTTGCGTTTTTGTGCCCTTTCGCAACATGCCCGATCAGCCCCATTTTCATATAGATCTTTTTACACGTGCTACAACCATTCAGTTGTGAGTGAGCATTTGTGTGGATATATATTTCTTTCCTTATCTAACTTCTGTCTTTTGCCTTGTAAGTTGATTCCAACCTACAGTTACAGTGCCAAGAACGTTGGTACGTGCATATAGCTTTTTTGGCAGCTGCATATAGTGACGTGCATGCAATCCCACAGAATCTTAGTCAAACTCCAGTGATTATTTAGCGCACTCTTTAAATACCAGAACCTCAAAATTTATTCCTCAAGATAATGCATCTTCATAGAAGCTTCAACTGAAGCGTCATCATGGCTGGATGTAGCGCGTAAGCCTGTACTACCTTCATCTAGTATCTTTTATTCAGTTTAATTACGATACCTACCACCCTTTCATTAATGCTATAGTATTCTTCTATGTTGCCCAGCTATGTTTCTGTGAATTAGGAACCACACTCCCAGTTTTCTTCTGTCTGCCAAGCCCCGATAGCAAAGGAGGTGCCCATTCTGTAGCACCGTAAAGGCCTCATCTGTCCTCCTAACTACACTGAGCCCTATTATATCTCATTTAACACCCTCTAGCTCCTCCAATAGTACAGCTAGACTTCCCTCACTAGATAAGGTTCTAGCGTTAAACGTTGCCAAGTTTAGGTTCCAATGGCCGCCTGTCCGGATCCAGAGATTCTTAGCACCCTCTGCTGCGTTGCAGATCTGACCGCCGCCGTGGTCAGTTGCTTCGCAGCTGCTCGGGACTGAGGGCCGTGAGTTATTTGACATATGCATGTGGGAGGTAGTGGCCAGATACTGGCCAGGGTGGCTGCCACAGGTCCAGTTAATTCGGGAGGCGATCGCC